TGGATGTGTAAAAGTGTTATTGTCCTGTTACTCATAATCTTTATGGCATTCTGGTAAGAGAGAGAAGTTTCAAAGCAGCACCAGTGCCCTCTTTAAGCATCTACTCCACTGCAAAACTCAACCAGTATCTGCAGAGCACACTGTAACACTGAGCAGGGCTTCCCTGGGCAGTCAGGGAGTGTGAATGGCAGCACCAGTTCCACTCTGTGGGACTGTTAGAGCTGAGGCAGGCTCAGACAACTGGGGGACATGAGAAGGGATCTCTGCTGGCATGCTGGTCCCTGTACTGGGGACGTGCTAGACAGTGAGAATCACCCCCTGCCCAGCACTTCCCATGCTCTGTTTTACTGATGAAGTGCTTTTTGAATGGCAAATGTAGGCAGGGAACAGAGCCGAACAGATTCGATTCTGCAAAAGCCTGTGTTTTGCAGTCCTGTGTTTAATTGGGGTAAATAGAATATGAATGGCAAGTGCAGAGTGATGACTTCGATGTGCTATTTGTCTGGTGAGGAATTTGTGAAATATGTGTTTTTCTGTAGAGAGTGCATGGTAGTAAAGAAGGGCCAGAGTCAGCACAACCTCAGAGCGATGGAGAATAAAGCATTCTACTTTTGTGGCCATTGATCTGATGACACTGTGGGTAATGGATGGACAAGGTTAGCCTCAGAATGTCTGATTTTGCTCAAATCATTGCTGGAGTCAGACTTAAGGTTGCTTCACCATGCAATTCTGCATTTACCGTTATTAGAGAGTCCCATACCTTCACACTCACTTTGAATTTCTTATGCTTTTAGTGACCGATAGGTTTGGAAGGCTTTTTTTAGAGAAGCATATCATTCTGGAGAGATGGTTTTAGGTGATTATTTTTGCTTACCTGAACTGTATTAATTTTGCCTTGCAGGCCTTAGATCCATGTTTTTATATGGAATTGCATTTTGCAGTTCATGTGTTTCAGGTTTTTTGTCTGTTGTTTGGGTAATAAATGCTACTGTCTGTTGGGATAAATTGGGGTTTTTTTAGCACTTATTTTGTGAGAGGGTTTAAATTGAAGCAAGAAGGTATCCCTGATTAGTTAAACAAACCTAAGTAGCACGAACAGATTCCAGACCTGCTTGGGGTTACACTGCAAGAGCAGCTATTCTTGGGGAAATGCTTCCATAGGTAGGGAATGGCATATTTTGTTGTGAGGTGCTGTACACTGTGCCTTCATTAAAGGAGCCTTCGAAGAAAGAGCTGTGGCAGGAGAAAGCAGGAGAGTGGTAACCAAACTGATGCTTGCAAAAAGAAACTGAACACTTCACAGCATTTTTGCATTTCCATCTCACCACCTGCCACTGAGGGCATGAGCCCTGGACTGTTACGTCCACTTGTAGCTTTGAAGTCCCTTTGCATACCTTACTGCTATGTAACTACCAGACAACCATGTTATTAAAACACTTCTACTTTCAGTTGCAACCTGCCAGAAGATGGTGTCCTATCCTACCAGACACAGGCCTCAGCACAGTGATCCAGGCACTCGTGACTGATTATTGCAGCTAATATCTACTGAGGAAGCCAAGCATCGTGGAAAATCTCCAGTTGACAAAACATAGTCTCTGGTCTCCCTAGCAACACTGATTACTGTGAGAACATCACCCTGCTGCTCCCTCATTTGTACTGGCCACCATTGAAGACAGAGTCACCTTCAACGTGTCTGCCCCAATACTCCGTGCCTGTCACAGGTTTTGTCTGAGCTGACGAAGAAATTCACCTTTCTGCGTAACCCCACGGTTACTATGCTGCACATAATCTCTGTGTATGCTGGAGACAGGATTGCTGTGGGCTTCAAATGAATTCAATTACTCCCAGGAATAATGAGAGCCACCATGGTGCTTTCTGCCCTCTCCATGGAGAAACTCGGTTCCCAAACTTAGCTTTCTATCAATAAGCTTTTTGTACCCACCCACAACACACAATACATCCACACCCCCACTCATTAGCACACACAAAGTCTAAACCAACAATTCACACTATCAACTAAACAGGCACTTCCCCTACAGACGAGGGGAAAAGCAGAAAGGTTCTTGTTTTCTTATTTCTGTTGTTCTATACTTGGATCACTCTCAGAGACGGTGCCTCTAGCAGTGCCTAAATAAACAAGCAAGCTGTTGTGGTCAGAAGCATTATATGATCTCTGGCCCACAAGTCACCAAGGGAATTCCTGTGAGCACTGGGAGAGATTCCCATGCTACCCTAAGCAGTGCAAGAGAAGATACCTTTGCACAGCACTGCCTGGGGTTGTGAAGCCATCTCCCCAAACCAGCTCTCTGTTAAACTGCCTTAAATCTGTTCACAGATCCTGAGGAATGACCCACAGATCTTCTTTTGAATTTTTAATTAATCCCTTTCTGCTGAGTTCACTCCCCTTTTTTTGCTGTGTTTCCATGAACAATCTCACAAATCAGTTCACTGGCAAGGATGTTTGTAGACATGGCAAATTTTAAGTCAGCGTTGCATACTATTTGCAGAAAGTGCATTTTGGATGTGTTAGTACAGGTTTCTTCACTGTCTCCATTAAAAAAACATTTCCACTAGAAGAAAGGAACTCTAAAAGTAGGCTTGTGTTTGTATCCCAACCCTCCCTAGTAGCTAAGGAGAACACCGATAGCAAGCAAAACCCTTCCACATCTTTTCTTAAGCATGGTTTTGGTTGCAAAAGTAACTGTGCTGGTTCAGACCACAGGTCCACCTAGGAGAGTTTACTGTCTCCTGCAGCAGCCACAAGCAGAAATTCAAGGAAATGTGTGAATGGAGCAACTACTTTCTAAAAGGCAAGCATGGCACAGTAGAAACCCATTAGGGACTTTGCTGTTGCAACTGATATCACAGGCAGGTGTTCAAATATTCAGGTAAGTGGGATATTATGATTGATGAGACAAACAGGTTAATTGATTAGTTGATTAGTTACTCTCCTCTGAGTCAAGGAATATACACATACTTTTAACATACAATGATTTTCATGGATAATATAAAATACTCCGTGTGACTCTCAAAAGAAACTCTTTTCAACCCACACTGCAAAACATTTTTGCCTGAAAATCTCTGACTGAACATAAAAATAGTGACAAAGTATTGAACACTGTGGCTTGAGCATGAGCAAACTGTGACCTCAATAGAAGATAACAGCATCTGATGGATTCAAAGCAGGTTCAAATGGAAACTGTGAGCTCTTTATGAAAGAACAAAGGTAATTAGCCACAACAAGAAACTCCCACCTGAAGGAGAGGATTAGCCATGTTTGAACATCTTGAGGTCAACAACAGACCTCATTCAACAGTTACTTGTTAGCTAAACATATATTATGATTTAATCAAAGGCAAATTTTTGGGCTCAGTCCAGGGGTAACTGGGTTAAAATTAACAGCCTGTGATACTTAGAAGGTCAAACCGGATGATCTAGTAGTCCCTTTAGCCTTCAACTCTTGTGTTTCCATGAATATACAATGGACACATGGATCATTATAAAGAGTGGTGCACAGCTTCAGCCGATATAAATAGACATTTGCACTGATTTGCTCTTGATAAGCATCTGGTCAGGCTTGCTCAGCTGCACGCTCTGGCATGCGACGTAGTCAAGTTTAAAACTAACAAATGACTGTAGCACATCAGAGCTCATGGACCAGATGGCGAGAGGGGATTGCAGGAACTTCACCCATGCGTATGGTCTTGACAGGAGAAGCCTCAGTCTCATCCACAAGCTGTTCCACTTGTAAACTGAGGACAGCAGACTCCCATGGAGTGATGTTGCAAGCTCTGCTGTTGAAGATGGCTTTCCCCAGATTGTGTTGAGTGATGTTTTGCCCACGGTTTCTCCTAAAGCTGCCTTCTCACCAGGATGGCTGAACCATTCAGTGCCATCCCTGGACACTCATCTTACGTTGCATTTACAATCATTTTTTGTCCTAAGGTTTATAAAATTGAAAGCAACTGTTTCTTACATTCTGCCATCAGGTTAGGGTACTGACAGTCAACATTTCCTTTCCTATTGTCTGAAAGCTAATCTCGAAGGGAAAATTCAAGTTACTCTCAATTTCTGCCTGTTTCTGCTTGTCTCCCCATGTATCACGCTACTAGTGTTTTCCTGTTTCTGAAATACTTTTTAAGTATGTGTAGGTTATCATGCTCACAGTAGTTGCTGTTTAACCAATCTCTCCAGACTTTATCCTTTTAATCTTTTTTTCTGAATCAATTCCTCCACTCCCTTGATCATATCAGTTGCTCTCCTTTGAACAGCTCCTGTTTGTCAATAACTCTTCCTAATGACTCATGTGGAACAGGGAATATGCGAAACTTCAAGGAGCAAAAAACACAAGAGCAGCACAGGTTCCAAGTCCTGGATCTCAGGGATTCGTGATTGTAATGTAATAGCAGTCTCCATTGAATTTATAAGCACTGGTCACAGTGTCTGTCATAGAGGCATAGAATCATAGAATGGTTTGGGTTGGAAAGGACCTTAACATCAACTACCTCCAACCCCCCTGCCATGGGTAGGGACATCTCACACTAGTCTGTGTTGCCCAAGACTCTGTCCAACCTGGCCTTGAACACTGCCAGTGATGGAGCATTCACCACTTCTTTGAGCAGCCTGTTCCAGTGCCTCACCACCCTCAGAGTAAAGAACTTTTTTCTTATATCTAACCTGAACTTCCCCTGTTTCAGTTTGAACCCATCACCCCTTGTTCCTGATGAAGAGTCCCTCTCCAGCATCCTTGTAGGCCCCCTGGCTGCTTCACACAGAGCCTATGGGACAGCCCATACAAGAAAGCCTGGAAGAGTGATGATGGATAGGCTTAGACTCCCAAGGCCTGGAGATCATGTTCTGGCCTTATGAGATGTGCTAGAGATATCTGTAGGTACAACAGGCTAGTCAGGTTTGAGAGCAGCCTCAGGGCTTGCATGAAGAAACACTAGTTTCTTGTAGTTGTGTCTCTAAAGCAAATTTACGCATGCACAGGAGAGTGGTGAACAGCCAGATGATGAGGTCATTTACTACAGCCATAAGGTACTTCCATATGATGCATATACATTCTCTCCACAGGTGGGAAGTAATGCTGAGGAGTAACACCATGGATAAAGGGAAAGATATAGACATTTAGTGAGGCATTTTCTAAAATATGGAAATCCAGCCCAAATTATAGTAACATAAGAGATTGCAAAGTGCAGCAGGGGAGATATAAAATGGAGATTAAAGAGGGTATAAGGAGCTTTGCTGAACAAATCATACTGTGGCAAACCCATGCCCAAACTCTGTGGGCACCTGCCTTCCCCCTGGGAACAAAACACCGCTGTTCTGCTGAATAAGACAACAAGAGCTGGTTACAAAGGAGATCTCAGGGTAGAGAGCCATCCCTCCCACAGTGCAGGAGCCGTCCCACAGAGGCAGCCTTCATAACAATGTGCAGGATGCAAACATAGTGAGCTGTCAGCTGGCTCACCCCAGGGAGGCATTTGGGGTACATTAAATTTTCTTCAGCTATTCCAGTAAAACAGCCTCCTCAGACTGACAGCATTGCAGCTCCATGAGGATGGGGACGTGAGGAAATTCAACTCACAAAGCTTTCTGGTCTCCTCTGTGCCTCCGACTTCTGCTTAGGGTGATGGTTTCTGCCTATGAAGGAGATGAGAGTGACACAGTAGGGCTGGTGATTGTGATCAGAGGCTAAATGTTGCCTACTTTCCAGTAGTATTGACTTATTTTTTAGACTTCATGACATCTTAGTGTTGTGAAAGAAGCTTGTTGGAGATAACTTTCATAGAAACAAAATGGGAAGGATAAGAACCAGGAGCACATTGCCTTGCACCAGCTGATGCGCAGCAGTTTATCCATCTGCACCAGGGCAACATGCAACTCACAATCCAAAGCATCTTAGGCATAAGAGCCATGAAGGAGGGTAGCCTCCTGGGATAGAACACACAGCACCTGGGAGATTCCAGGAAGAATAAGGATGAAGGGGTCCTGGTTTGGTGAGATGCAGGCACTCAAGATGCTCAGCTTCTCTTTCAAGTCTTCTTCTTCCATGTGTCTGATCCAGGGACTGCTGTAACTTGTTGTGTAACTTGTCCTGGCTTTAATTTAGTCCCTGCACATAGTGGAGAGCTATACATGTCATCCACTCCACAAGACAACCTCTGAGCCTAACACTACAAAGCATTATGCTAAGCTGCTGCTGGGCACATGTGCAGCAGCTGTGAGGGTCAGCAGAGAGACCTTTGTGTTTGTAACACCAAATGGACATTTTGCAGACCTGATCTTCCCCTCTTATGACAGACACAGCTTGGCCACGTGTTTCTCTGCCTGGTGACTGGGTGAATCACACTTTGAAACTGAAACTACTTCATTACAGCAGGAGAGCTGCCTGTGTGTGCAGGGAGAAGCAAAACACTACTCCCTGCTATGCAGAAACGTACTGTGGGGATGTTGACTGCTTCTTTCCAACGGGTTGAAATCAGCTCTCCCTCTGTGTGTGTTACTTTTTGTGCCCATCACTAACAGAGCTCTGCTTACCAGTTCTTTTAAAGAAAGCGGTTGGAAGATGCTGCCTTGCAGAGATAGGCACGTGGGTAATGGCCATCAATATTATCTTTAGGATAGCCCAGCTAACCAGAAGGCTGAAGCAGGAGGGAGGAGGTGCCAACAGCACAACCTGTTTTGGTAGCTGAAAACGTAGAAGAACCAACACCAGTTCACCAAACCCAACAATTAGCTGCCTTAGGAAACTCACCACTTCATCCATGGCTAGAGGGGGCCCAAACACATAGAGGTCAATGTATTTCTCTTCTCTGGGCTTTTTCACCTGCGGAGGTGAGGGTAAGAGTGACAGTAGAGAATAACTCGTGGATTCCCCAGAGTGAGAAGGGTCAGAAGCATGAGAAGATGGCACAGCAGATAAAGATGTGAACTTCCAAGTAGATGATAAGCGGTTTCAAACACCTGAGGAAGGAGGGCTCAGAGTAGCCAAGCTCTTAGCCAAAGCAGGCAGTGGCTTATTCAAATAGCTTTTCGTATAAATGCCTGTGGGACTGAGGGGCTGGGAGGGGGGTGATTATTGTCACTGTGTTTTACAAAGAAGCTAAAGGTGATCCAATTATAAACCGGAGAGCCTTACCTCAGAACGAGGAGAAAACACTGAAAAAAATCATTAAAGATAGAGTTAGAAAGCTTCTAGATGAGTCTAACGTGATAGAGATAAACCTGTCTGCCAGCTTCTGTAAGTGTGACTTGTGCTTCTCTAGCCTATTAGGATGCTGGGGAAGAGTTAATGAAATACAGGTCTGAGGATAAGGGAGGGTGGGGGGAATATAATTTATTTAAACTTTTCAAAAGCCTTTTGATAAAGTCTTTCACAAGAGGCTATTAAAGAAATTTGTTACCCGTAGGGTGGGAAGCAAAGTCCTGACATGGATTAAAACCCAGATAAGAGGTAAGAAACAAAGGAAGGGAATAAGTGTCCAATTCTCTGCATGAAAGGAGGTTAATAGCAAGATGCTCCAGGGATCAGCATCAGGACCAGGGATGTTCAATATGTTTATTAACGATCTAAGAGAAAGAGGAGAACAACAGAGATACAAAATTTTGCTGATGGCACAGTTTACTTCTTGCAGGCAATTTATTGGCTGCGTTTGATTCCCTTCATGTGTTCATGGCTTGTCTATGAATAGATTACTGGTTTTACTAATAGGCCTATAAATATAATTGGAAGTACGGCTCAGTCAGGTGAACAGTACTGAGACTGATTGCAGGAGGAGAGCTACAGCTGCTGAAACATCAGCCTGGGATGGATGCAGAATCACAAAGCAAGAAGGTTTCTGCATTCAGCCCTCCGTCAGCTCCATAAGCACTGCTTCCTGCAACTGTTGCTTCTTATGTCACTTTCTGTTAGTGCAGAAGGACTGTGTTATAGCAGTGCTAGGACACCCACCCATACCATCATCGCAGTGGTTCATACTTATACTCCTAGGCTTGAATATTCTATGGATTCTATGGCCCTTTGCCAGCACCCCCCAGCCATTACCCACATGTATATTTCCTGGGGGAAGCAAGCACTCATGCACACACCTTTAACTGTATTATTCTGCATTGCCAGTCTTGATTTGGCAGATCCTTCCTCGTGCAGCCAAGCTTTTTACTGCAAGCTTTAGGAATGAAGCACATGCTTCACCACATCACTTTAATGCTGCCAGAGATGCTCTCCTACAGCTGTGTCCTACACCCTGCCCCATCCAGATCCACTTTGCGCACTGCCTCCACATGCCAGACTTCTTATGGTTCCTGTTCACTATTCATCACACTGACTGAAACACTCAGCTCCTAGCAAGGTAGTTATTGTAGGCAAGTTAAAAGTCCTCCTTCACAGTCACTGCTGACACATAAGTTTGTTCAACTCGCTGTATTAAAGTCATTAGTGCCAGGCAGGCCTGCAGAAATGCTTTATGTCATCATTTTCCTCTATAGTACAGCAACCAGTTTTTTACACAGTTGAGGTTGCTACCTCAGGGTACCTCAGCACTTGCTGGAGGCTGCCTGTATTTACATCTTTTGCTAGACAAGGAACATCTTAGAGACACGATTAGCGGAAACTACATGTTCAAGTACTCCCTTAAACTGAGGTTTTATTGAATTGGTCTTCATTGTTTAATTGGATAATATTTGATAATAATTGACTTCCAGCCCAGGGCTGCCAACAGAAACATTTTGGGTTGTTTCTCCTCTGTGGCCATCAAATTTCAGTTTATGCCAGTCTCCTGTAAGGAGGATATGAACTCTCTTGGCTGACCAGAACAAGCAACAGAAGTTTTGACTGACCAGACCATGCTGGTTTGTCCTAGCACTGTGTCAGCATGACAGATGACAGCCAGATCAGCACAACAGAGAAGGAGGAGTGCTAGTTAGTCTGTACAATTCCCTGGCACACAAGGTGTTACTGCTGAGGAAGAAATTCCCAGGTGAGATCTGATTTGATTACACTGAGGTTTATGTGAGCTCTTTCTTTCACCTCCTGCTGGCTACTGAGGGATGAACGGAGTAACAGGGGTACTCTGGGTGCAAGAGCCTTCAAGAACCAGTAGCAGCAGGGTTGATGCAGTTGTTCCCATGCTAATGAAGTCTGACGTTTGAAGGCAATGATTCCTCCTGCAATCCACTGGCATTGTCTCTTGACACTTCTCACCAGCTGGCAAGTAGGAAATAAAAGAGTGTTCTGGTGTCAGTGGAAAATAAGTGGCTGCAGTGTGCAGTCGAGTGGCTGGAGGTTTCATAACACTGCCTTCGGTCTTTCACAGATATATGCAACCACACATGAGCAGAATGGCCTCCACCTCAAAGCTACTACGTTCTGTCAGAAACAGGCTGGAGCAGCCAGGCAGTCGCTTGACTAACGACACAAAGGGAAGGTGCTAAGAAGGTGAATGCAATCTGAACTCAAGCTCAGCATGCTGCAAACAAATTGAGCTGTTGCACTGAAGTTGTGAAGAAAAGAGATTTTCCTATTACTTATACAGCAGCCTAGGCATCAGGGGAGCAAGCAAGCTGGAAATGGAAATTCCCATTGATGAGAATTTGATATTATTGTCATTGCAGAAACCTGCAGGGATTAGTCACATTACTTGGAATTTTTAAACAGTGTAGTTACAAACATTTAAGGGAAAACAGTGGGTAAATGTATAGGGGTGATGCTCTGCATGAAAGCTGCCACTGTGTTTTCCAGTTACTTAATTCTTCAGAGCAGAGACTGAGCCTTATATTTCCTAATAAAACCTTTCAGGCTACTGGGGCCTTTCAGACACAACAAAATTAACAATTTAATAATGATTCTGCTCATCACTGTGGCATATGGAAATGCAAACTACAGTTATTATGGAAGGATTTTGATTTGAAAAGGTGCTACAGGTTTTATGCAGTCAACAGGAAGCATCACCGATGCTTATGAAGTTTAGAGATGATTATTTCCTACTGTGAAAACATTACATTCAGGTTGAAGTAAAAGTCTACTACTGCTCTCATTAGGAAGGACAAAGAAGAATGAAATTCTGGCCAGGAAGCTTGTTGGTTGCCTCTGGAGGGTAGGTCTCAAGTCAAAAGGGGGTGCAAGCTGAAACAGATGTGGAAATGAGTACGAAGTAAGAAGTCAGACTCACTGAATGTATTCAAGAACACATTGCACTGATATGTGCAGGCTTAATGGAAGCAGTCTGGGAGCGATAAATAAAGAGAGAGAAACAGTGAGGATGATTATAAATAACTTAGAAGAATGATAAGCTCCTGGATTGCAAATTGGCATGAGAAACTATTCAGTGATCCATGCTTAACAGCATGATTAGTGTATGACTGGTTAATAACAGTGTGGAGAAATGTCACTGGGAATAGCAGACATGTGCACCTGCATAAGCTTTTGGACAATATTAACAGAACAAACAGGTACAAAAAGGATAGAAAGATTGCTTTTGCACTTGCAAGTGTCCCTGCACCTGCACTAAAGGGCTCACACTTGCCTGTCCAACTGATCACCCGGCTGACAGTTAATAAAAGGTTATACTCTCTGGATGCTCATTCAAACCTGTTGCAGCAGGAGCTGCCAGTCCCTGGAAGCAGCTACAGGCACCAGTGATCATGATTTGATTACACTGAATATGAGTGAATGCAGTATGATGCCAAGTGATAATGTATATATAAATATATATACACACACACATACTTGTCCCTCTGAAAAGGCTAACTCCCCAAATGTAAAAAGTAAGATTTATTACATATATGTATATATTTGTATAAATACTAATTTATGTATCAATGAGAATTGGGATCTCCTTCACGGAAGTTTTTCAGAGGTCTCAGAAGCCAGTGTGGCACAATCACATAGAATGATGACAAGGAAGGAAAGCTCAGTAGCAATGAGCAGTAAGAGAGAGAGTGTAAAATTCAGAATGCTTACGTACCATATTATGAGAAAAATAGGGGAAATGGAAACAACCAGTATTAACCAGAAGATTGAAGTTAAAAGTAGTTATATAGGAACCTAAAGATATTTTATTTCCTTGCCTTTTTATAGACAGTAAGTAGAAGAAGTGAAGTCATCCCATATTACACTTGGGATGCCCCTTGCAGGAAGGACCTGCAAGGAACCTGACCAAATGCAGAGGGCTTTCTGGAGCAGTGCAGGAGTGAATGCTGCATCTGAATTTGTCCCAGAAGAAAACACGTGTACATAAAACTGACTTTGTTGGAGCTGGGGCTTCCTTCATTTATGTTGTTAGCCCTAAAATGGAAAAGAAAGTAAGCAAGCAAGCAAGCAAGTCCACAATGAGGGAATTTGAGGGCATACGCAACTGCCCAGCCAGCTTCCCACTGGCAGCCATTGGTATTGGGGAAATCAGGAGGAAGGTTCTTTCCAACCCTAGCCATTCTATTATTCTACTCAGACACCAGATCTGAACTTAGTGACAAAAGCTCCAACCCCAGCAAACCAAGTGTTCAGAACCTGTGTCCACTGCAGCAATCTTGTGGAAGCCCCTCAGGAGGAGCAGAGGGATTATAATGCCACGGCTACACAAAGTCTTGCCACAAAAGAACACAGGAAGCTGCAGGAGAAGGAGTGGGGCTCTAGTATAACCTGTCTCCATGATGTGTCCTCAGACAGGGAATGTTAGCGGGACAGAGGGAGTCCGGAGGGATGTGATGTGAGGATGGTGGGGAGGGGAAGGGGATCCTCAGGGGGGTCCTCTCTGTTTTGCTGAGGGAGTGGTGGAAATTTCTGCCCCCTTCCATTGCTGAAGCAGTGTGCTGGGTGTCAGTGTGATTCTGGATGTCACACTAACAGCTGCTTCTGGATGCGACATTTCATGACAGTGCCTTTTCAGACCCCGGCATCACAGCTGACTTGTACCCAGGCAGCAAGCAGGGCCAGGGATGCTGTCAGGATCACTCCCACATTCAATTACTCACAGCAGCCTGTGCACACACATTGTCACTCAACCTTGCCTCCCCAGTCCCTTCCTAGAGGCAGAGGTGCTTCCAGCAGCAGAGAGCTGCTGTCCATCAGAGGCACCGGTGCCTCTGTCCTGTCCTCTTTCCTGCCTGAAAAACACAAGCCAAGGTAGCCAGGCTCCACAGGGAGGTGAAAGACGGGATTAAATGACTAGATTCATGTCCATCACCTCCCACAGCCTGCATAGGAGGCACACAAGGGACTCTGGTTAATGCTAGGCCATGAGACTATGAGAAACAGCAGGGGAGGAGAGAGAGAATAAACGAGTGCTGACCTGGGACCTGCAGTACTAGCCTAGGGCTTTGCACTTGGCAGCTCCTCATCAACTTGGTGGTTGTCAACTTGCTATACCAGTCAGCACTTCTCCCTCTCTCCCTTTCCCTTTCATCTAGGTTGCTGCAGTTGCGTTTAATGACACAACAGATGTATTCATTTGCATCTTTATACAGATCTCTAAGCTCTACAAATGGGTGGGTGGGTGTGACCCCATTTCCCCAAATTATTCAGCACCTTTCAGTTATGCATTTCTCTCTTTTCTAATGTCTTTTTTGAAGCACAGGGGAGCAGCAGTGGAGAATTACTATGCCGTTTTCTCTGAAGCATCTGGGACCCGATCGCTCCCCTGCCTATGTGATTCCCCCTTGGAAGCCAACAGGAGCCATGGAGCTGTCTGTACACAGGCAGACTGCCTCCCCCACCGTGTACACACACTTCCCAGAGAGGGGGAAAAGGCACCGGTTTACCTGACATACCCCCATACTAAGCGGAAGATGGCTATGGGAAAGAAGTAAGGGAAAAACAAGCAACACCCTGTCTATTTATTGAGGGTGATGACAGCTCTGTTGCTGCCATCAAGAGATCTGTAATCGCATCTATGGGATGTGGGTGAGTTAAAATATTTCCCTTCTCCATCTGAAGGCAGTGTTTATGCAGAGCCGCTTGAAGCACACTCCATGGTTATGACGCAGGGAAACGCTATCACTGACGTGGATGATCTCAGCATGGATTGGTGCTGGTGTGTGCTCTACAGAGCTTCCTCTGCATTGGTGCCCGGCTCCCTGGCCCTCAGCCACAGGGTACCCTGCTAGAGAAAGAGGGTATAAAAGGGCAGGGAATGGGTCTGTACACAATGCTAGTTCCCATGGGAAAACACACGGTGGTGCATTACCCCTGAGTCTGGAGCACAGCATGTTCATGTCCTCACAGACTGAGGACAGGAGACAAAGAGTGAAGAAGAAAGGAAGGGAGAAGATTATTCCTCACTGACCTGTCATACATACCTCAGCAACACATCATGGAAGCAGCCCCAGTTGTTGTATGGTGAAGTTGGATGCATAAGATAGAACAGCCCCTCTCCTGACTCTTCTTATACCTGTCCCTCACCCAGGCCAGGTGGTTCCAGGGCCATGTGTTGGTGAGATGCTATTGGTGTGACACCCTGTGAGAGCAATGAATGAAGACACCTGAGAGAGAAGCTCAGGTTTAATTTAGGGGCTGGGCTTTGTGCATAATGGCCACAGTTCTAATGTAATCCCATCACTGCGTGTGTGCTGAGCACTGCTGTCAATCAATGGCACTTTGCATCAGTACATTTTCATATCAATATGTATGTTCTCTTGCTAACACTATTATTATCATTTATTATTTGCATTATTGTTGTGCCTCAAGGCTTCAGCAGGAGTCAGGTCCCCTTTGTGCCTGGTACACACACATGGTGAGACGCAGACCCTGTTCTGCACGGCTTCCAGACTAAACACACCGTAACAGGCACAGTGTGGGGAGTCTAGGGGAAAACAAAAGCATTTGGAAGCTGAAGTGCTGGATCCAGCAAGCCAACAGCAGAGCTGGGAGCAGACATGGGCTTGTGGTGGCTTCATATCCAACACTCTTCCCACTAGAATTCACCAGTACCAAAAGCTTGGCAACTTTGATTTCTTTTTGGGAAGAAAATGGATGAGACATTTTACAAGGTGGAAATTCCCCCTAATCTCTCTCTCTCTGAATACCCCCATGTGCTGGAAGGCCAGGATGCACATAGAGGAAAAAAAAAGTGCCTCAGGGAGGGGGGAAAAGTACATCCATCATTAGTCTGCCCTTTCACTGGCATCCCTGTGTAGAAACCAGTGGTGACCCCTGTAAGGTCCAAGGCATGGGACTCCTTGCTCCAGCCCACGGTTGCTCTTGGGAGTGTAACACAAAGCTTTGCATTGTGTAATGTGAGATTTCTTCTCCCCCAAAAGCCCTGCCTATAGGGATTGCCTCAGCACAGGAAGCTCTTCTCTAACACCCTGGGTACCACTGCCAGGGGTTTGCTAGCAGTGGAGGGGACACGGGCTACCTGACATAGGAGGGGTGAGGAGCTACTCCATGCTGGTCCCAGTCTGTCCTCTCTGCCTCCGTAATGGATGGCACCAACCCACTGCACCCCAGCGTTGTGGCCCCAGCCAGAGGGTCCCCAGATCTCCTCCTCCAGCAGTACTTAGGGACTATGGCACCACTGGGGCAGGGGGCCTGAAGGGAGGGACTCCATGCTGGGGGAGCATGTGTATAATGTCTGTGCCTGTGGGGACCCATGCTGGAGCAGGGCATAGAGAAGGGAAGAGCAGTGGAAGAGTGAGAAAACAGGAGTGACAGCAAGAAAGAGACTGCCTTCACTGCCCATCTTCGTACCTGAGAGACTGGCAGGGACTCAGTGTAAAATGCAGTGAAAATGGAGGAAGCGGGGCTGGTTGGACTGAACCTGGGGAACAGGGGCTTCCCTTGGTGTTTAATTATCTCTGTTTTCTTTGTTTTCCAACAACCAAATCAGTAAATAAAAGCTTATGTTAATTGTAAATAAATCAAATTCAGTGAAATTCCCTGAACTGAGACTGCTTTGCCTGCAATGAAAAAATGAAAAATGCCAGTGGAAAAACGGGAGGCTTTTAGCTGACAAGGCTGTAAGGAAAAGCTTCAGAAAGCAATTTGAGATCATCGACAAAGCCCTCAAACCAGAAGTAGAGTGCAAAAAGCCCCCAGTATTTCTCTTGTTATAAACCTGCACACGGCCACTGAATGTGCAGGAACAAACATCAGCAGATGACAGTGGAGACCGAGACACTACATCTAAGTCATGGCTGCTGAATGGATCTGGTGTGACCAAAGGAGAGTATCTTAAGACAGGTTGGTTTCCAGTCCTCATGAACCAGCCAAAAGAGAAGCAAAATACCAGTACACGCTCTTATGTTCCCACATCCTTTGCAGACTGCATTGTTAATCAATCAGCCTAGCCAACGACCAGGCATGCTGGTAGCTAAAACACTGGTAGGTGCAAAAGCAGTAGGTCTCATCCATTGCACACTGGTTCCCCTGTGCACTGATCTGCAATTACAGCCACAGCAGCCATTTGTATAGAAATCCAGTAGATTACTGCTCAAAGAACAGGGCAGCCGTCTATCCAGATCAATAGAGCTGGGACTTCTGATGCAATTGAGCAAAGCCAGGGCACCTCTTCTGTCTCACAGATGGCAAAATTCCCCTTTATTTTGACTGAGATCAGTTCTTTTCCACACGTGCTGAGAGCAGCTGTTTGTTTTTCATAATTGCCTTGCAGTCACTCTAACTCGAGCCTAAAAATGTTGTCCCTCAAATAAAATCACAGAAATGTCCCTGTATAATCCAGTACCAGCAGCAGTAACAGGAGAGAGATCTCAAGGTCCCACAGTAAAGCGGCTGGTGAAATGTAATAACAGCAATGGCAGTCAGATTTATGTAACTTTTACAAAATCAATAGTACCGGACTCTCCAAAATGACTTGAAAAGCCAGACCCCATACAAATGTAATTAAGCACAGATGGCAGCATGCTTTCTATGCTCGTGAACACCGCTGCAAAGCTGTGTTCACTTGAACGTGAACAGCAGTTGCCTTGAACTTGCTGTTGTTGATGCGAAAATACCATTGTCACTAATCAAGGCTGTTTGTAATGTAACAGGCACTCATCCTTATTTTAATGGGATTGGTGTGTGAGTTTCAGTGCTCTGCAGGTAACAGGTAGGAGATGAGATGGAGTTGATGAGATAAAGTTTCACCCATAACATCCAGGCTTCATTCAACTTTCTGCCTCATGTTTTTACCAAAGCAATGTCAAAAGATTTCTTTGCAATACAAAAGCATGACCCCTTCCCCATCATGAAGCAACAGGCCCTCGTAAGGAGTGGGTGGGTTTGTGGTGCAGGTGAATGAGTGCCGTGCTGAGCACTCATAGAAACGTTGAATAGTTTAGTTTGGAAAGGACTTTAAGATCATCCAGTTCCAAACCTCTCCTATGGGCAGGGAAGCCATGCGAAAGACCATGAAGCCCAAGGCTCTGTCCAACCTGGCCTTGAAGACTGCCAGGGATGGAGCATTTATCACTTCTCTGGGCACCCTGTGCCAGTGCCTCACCACCCTCACAGTAAAGAACTTCTGCCTTACATCTAACCTGAACTTCCCCCCAACCATGTCCTCCTGCAGCTTAATGCAATGGCTTTTTTCTCCTTCTGTCCCACACCACCAGCGCTCCCATCCCCTCCATCTCGTATCCCAGCTTACAGGGCCACAGAGAAAACAGTCTGGAATTAAGACTGATAAAAAGGTGACAAAATTCCAGTCAGTACGAACATCATAAACGTGGGTGGTTGAGAAACGGATGGAGGGAAAAGGGTGATAACACATTTTAATTTGTTCAGTCTTCCTTCATGCAGTGTTTTGTTTTCCCATTGAATACAAGGCACATGGAGGTAGAGGGGTGGATGTCATAAAGCTGTCATCAGGCTGTTTTCCACACTTATTTTCTGAAATTTGAAATGACACTGAAAGTTGAAATTTGGGAAAAAAAAGAAAATTCTCCCCAGAGCTATCTGCACACCTCTGTCATCATCTTAAAAGGAGAGATGTATTTTTAACAGCCTCAGGGGAAAAAACATGTTAAGAAAGTTCAGGAAAGCCTGAGTGCTGTTACCACCCAAAAATACTTCTAATCATTAAAGGCATTGCCTTTTTAACCTTCTCAGCTGACTCTAACACTTCCCCTGGCTTTGACTAACATCTTACTCCACCAACACGGCAGTCTGCTTCTACAAACAGACCCTGGGATGTCAGCTCATGGGCAACTCCTGCACTGCTAAAGCTGGGAGTTGTTGCTCCTGTGCAGAACTGGCCTGGAAAGGCTCTATTCAAGCACAGATATCTAATGCAGTGGTTTTCAACTTATTCAGCCCTGCTAATGGCTTATGGGTTGTGTCAAAGGGAAACACAAAAGGTAATGAAAAATCACTCTAACATCTCCAAAACGACATTGGTGATAAAGGGATCTCTACACTACCGGGCAATTTTTAGAGGTCCACAAATAGGACTGAAAACCATAGTGAGATGCTTCAGTCTGCATTAAAGCCCCTGTATCAGTCTGCCCTTCTGAGATGCCAAATGCTTGCTGCTGGCTACTTCAGTATAAAAGGGTACTTACCTAAAGGCCTAATAGTAAGAGCTTGTAGGAGCTTACCAAATTAGTCTAAATTAGAATTAGTCCCTCCACAACCAGGAGTTGTGGAAAATTTAAGGTTGAAGAGTATATTTTTTTGGTCTGTTTGCTTTCCAGTTTTAGTCTTTATTCCATTTCATTTTTATATTTTTGTCCTCTTTCTTCTTTGGAGCCCTCTCATCTATTCATTGAATTGGTTTTCACTGTCAAACATATCATTTGCAGAAAACCTACTGAAATTGTTAGTGAGAAAATACGGATTTGCTGTAATTGTTTTCACAAAAACTAGTAAACCTAAAGTGTGGAAAATTATGAATGTAAGCACCAGAAAATCAGACTGATTTTGCATTGCTGAGTTGCTGTCAACTTCCCCAAAATATAAACCCCCACAAATGTTCTTACTTTCAAGGCTGTTTTTTGTTCGTTGGTTGTTTTTTCCATACTTCCTTTTCCACTCACTGGACTATTCCTAGTTTCTTTTTTCTCTTTAAAAGCCTGGACTTTTTATAGTGGTGGTTGTGGTGACATAATAAACAATCATGTATTTATATTCTGATTTCATCAATCATCCTATAAGACTGTACTATTCCATTAGCAGGGTAGTTGGATGCTCAGCTTCCTGCAAGTGTGCCTGGATCTCCCACTTCAGTATAGTGTGTATGACTGACCCATTTCACACTCGGAAGTTCTTCTCTGTTTGGATGATAAGCTTATAGGGGAAGGGAACATCTGCTCTTCACGTTTATATGGAGCTGAATATACTGAAGATCTCTTCTTAGTGGGTCACTACCAATGGCTATAATCTTCATTGTTAATAATAGAGAAGAA